AAGGATTCTGTTGGCTTTAAATTCGGGAGAATTCCTTGTCCTGTCTGTGTTTGTTGGGCTGGGCGTTAGGAAAAAATGGTCCTAAAGCAGGAAAATTTCCCTGAAATTAGGAAAAAATGGTCCTAAAGGAGGAAAAATTCCCTGAGATTAGGAAAAAATGGTCCTAAAGGAGGAAAAATTCCCTGGGATTAGGAAAAAATGGCCCTAAAGGAGGAAAAATTCCCTGAAATTAGGAAAAAATGGCCCTAAAGGAGGAAAAATTCCCTGGGATTAGGAAAAATTCCCTGAAATTAGGAAAAAATGGCCCTAAAGGAGGAAAAATTCCCTGGGATTAGGAAAAATTCCCTGAAATTAGGAAAAAATGGTCCTAAAGCAGGAAAAGCGGCCCTAAATTGAGAAAAACTGCCCTAAACCAGGAAAAAAGACCCTAGAACAGGAAATATGACCCTAAATCAAGATAAAACTTCCTTAAACCAGGAAAAATGGCCCTAAAGCAGGAAAAAGTGACCCTGAAGCAGGAAAAATGGTCTCAAACCAGGAGGAAATGGCCCTAAAAGAAGAAAAATTGCCTTAAACCAGGAAAAATGGTCCCAAACCAGGAAAAATTGGCCCTAAAACAGGAGCTTGGTGTGTCAGAGGTGGGATTTGCAGAGCTGAGATTAAAATTAATCCCAGGCTCCCAGGTTCCTCACATGTCCCAGTGGGATTTTTTTTTTTCCTGCTGCCCCAAACAGGGAATTTTCCAAAGGAAAATGAGAACTGTCCCCACCAGTGACAGCTTTGAACTCTTGTTTTTGTGAAATGTTTGTGTTTCACTCCAGAAATTCCTGGGTTAGGGAATTGTTGGGATTTTGGTGGGATCTTTGGGCAGTGTCAGCTGCCAGGAGGTTTTTAGGGTGTATCACCAGCAGATAAAACTGGATAATAATTTTAATATTAATTAATAAGAGAATTTAATGAGATCATTAAAAGCTTTCAGGGGTAGTGACATCAGCCAGTTTCACCTCTGGAAAACAGGGAGAGACAGGAGGCTGGTAATGAATGGGATGGCAAAAAAAAAAAAAAAA